AGATGATGTATTTGAAATTTGATTATGATCGAATTTTGGGGGACGTTTCTTCAAAAGAAAGTTTTGGAAAACACGGCTTATTCCGATTTTTGACGTTTTAAAACGTCACCCGTCCCGAAAGGGTTAAAGAGATACAAATGAGTAAACAAAAACCAAATCGAATAAGGGAAAAAAATATTTTCAACAGTTTCTTCCTAATTATTTCACCACAATTAATTTTTTTTCATTTTTTTTTTTTTTTTAAGTTCACTTAGTTTTTAAGTGAAGTTTTTTTCATTTTTTCCTTGGTCTTAATTCACGTTTAAATGTTTCTGGTGTCATATCTTGTGCAAGTGCAGAAGCCGCTGTACGACCCGGATCGCTGTGTTGTTTAACTGTTGTTGTTCTCGTCTCAAGTGGTTGATCTAAAAAAAAAAGAGAGAAATTATAACTATAGTGGAGATGGCAAATCAGAGTTCAAGTCGGAGTCATGAAATTGTCAGTCTAAAAACGCGCAAGTCAAGCCGAGTGGTTTGTTATTTTTTTTTAGACCAATTTAAGTGAGCTGTCTTTTTTCCGAGCAAATCAGTCGAAAATTGTCCAGTTTTCGAGATTGGAAATAGAAATAAAGCGATAACAATAGGAAGGATAGCTGCTGCTTCTTTTTCAATTTCTTCAGTCAAGTCACTACTTTTTATTTTCTTAACTAAAGGCAAGTCATATATAATTTTTCATAACTAGCCCCGCTCTGATATATAGGAAAATGTTTTTTTTGCGAAACTGACTTACCAGATTTATCTTTCTTTGTCTTTTTAGCAGCTGAACATGAACCACCTTCATCAGTGCTACGTCTTAATTCACTAGAACGGTAGATAACAAAAGAACAAATTCAAAACGATGTTATCAAACAAGCGTGAGTTAAATAAAATACAACTCACCGATTAAGAGCAGCTGTTGGTGTCGTACTTGTGACGACAGCTAAAACTGTTGCAGAAACTGCTGCTGGACCTTGTTGTGCTGTTGTAACGACGACATTTGGCGCTTTTTAAAAGAAAATGAGGAAAAAAAGAGATATAAGTGGAAGTAGAGACAGACAAGTTGAGATTTTTCAAGTCGAAGTCAAATCAAGTAATTTCAAAAACCAAGCAATCAAGTCAAGTCTTTCGTGATATTTCTTCGGAATCACGTAAAGTCGACTCAGCTCAACCCATTATTGGAAACAGCCAAACAAAGTCAATGTTTTTTACTCAAGTCAACTCACATCAAAATTAAGTCGATTTTCTTTTTTTGGGAAAACCTTACGAAAACTGTCGATTTTTTGAAATTCGGTATTAGTTAGCTTGACTTAATTGGACTTGATAAAATGTTTAAGACATGAACGAGTTTTTTCGCAGTCTAAATCTAGTTAAATCAAAAATGGCTTGAATTTCCATCTCTGAGTGGAGAGCCCTACCTCAGAAAAAAATTGGTCACCTTTGTACTTACTTGATTTATCTTTTCGACTATCAGCATTTTCTTTTTCTTCTTCATCTGACGAACTTTCACCGTCCCGTTCGAACCTAATCAATTGATACCTAAAATATATAAAATAAAAAACTGTTTTCAAGGAAACTAAAAGGCAACTTGAAGCACAAAAAACTCACATGTAATCAAAAACTGGATTGACTTTTTCGCGCACAATCCAATTGTTTTCTTTGTACTTTCGATCAAAAGAGTTGTTCGACGGTGCACGGCCTGTTTTGATTCCTTCAACAATATAATAATCTACCATCAGTTTCACCAACTGATCTCGAAGAAACACACGTCGAGTCACTGAAAAAATAAAAATGATGAACGACAAAAGCTACTACAAAAGCCACAGAACTTACTTTTTTCGTGATAATCAGTTGTCTTGGCATGTCTTCCCGTTTGTTTCACAAACTGATCAACCACAAAACACATCTCACCACTTTTGTTACTTCTTTCGAAACGATATATATAATTTCCTGATCTGGGATAATATTTTCGACCAAATTGTTTATTTTTAACACCTGAAATGAGGAAAAGAGACCATAAAAATCTTTACGTTTCGGAACAAAAGTAATTTACATGAGTTGTAAAAATCAAGCAACTTTTGTTGATGAATTTGATTTGGAGAGGTACCGTGTATTTGAGCCCATTGATGTGGTACATTTTGAACATAATCATTTAAATGATTAATCAAATCTTCTAAAAAAAGAAAGGTCATAAATTTTTTTCATAATCCGTAGAATAAAAACCTTACTTTTCGTTTTCATCGGAGCTTGCAAGATAAAATGGAACGTCATTTTTTGAATCTAAAAATGAAACGTAGACGAGAAAATGAAATATTTTAGAGAGAAATAAGTAGAAACCAACAAATCTCATTTCATTTTGCTCTCTTCAATTTATTTCTTCTTATATCTCTCCAAATAAAAGTAATGCAAAAAAATAAAAAAACAAAATGCATCTGACAAAACACGGCAAGAAAAAAATTTGACCAAATGAAAGTACGAGAAACAATCAGATTTACGATCCGACAAAGAAGTGGTTAGAAAAAATAGACAACAAAAAGAGGTTTTCTAAGCGTAGAAAAAATGGAATAGCCAAAATACATGTTCAAAATCAGTTCATTCACCCACTATGCACAATTTTCAGCTGTTCATTTAACTTCTAACTGTTCTATTAGTTACGTTGGATTGTGAGTTGACTGATTTTTATTAACTGTTCGTAGAATGAAACGTTGTGGAGTTGTTGAAGAGGGAATTGAAGAGGAAGGTATTATGATGAGCGGTCGAGGAGATGATGATTGAGAAATTTGGTTGAGGTTGAGCACATTTTGCAGTGGTGGTCGTTTTGGTGCGATGAAACGCAATGTTTGTGTTGTTGTTGGTGCATTTAGTAGATTCGTTGCAACAGGATTGACACGAAAAGACGGTGAAGGTGTAGAGTGATTCGTTGTGTTTGAATCATTATCAAAATATGGCGATGTTCGTTTATTCAATGCTTCAGCTTTATATTGCTTCGCAACTGCACGATCAACTAAAAGAAATGTAAGTAAGACTGTAAACAAGTATAAAAATTTGAATTAGATTTCCTGTTGTTCACAGATTCTTGCAAAAGAAAATGTTCAAACTTTTTCAGTATCAATTCGGAAAATCACCTTTGCGAACACATATTCGCAAAGTAGGAGACAGCTCGGAATATATACAACCAAAAAAATTTCCTTCTGCGAAGTGATGTTGCGAGGACGTGTTCGCAAAGGAAAACATTCGCATTTTTTTCTGCGTCGGTTCGGAAAAACGCCTTTGCCAAGACGTGTTCGTAAAGGAAGAAAATGCCTTTGCGAACACGTCTTCGCAAAAGCTTTTTTTCTTTTCGCGAGTACATGTTCGCAAAGGTGATGTTTCATATTGTAAAAGTCCCATTCAGTTTTCTTTTACGAACATGTGTTCGTAACCTTACTTCGCAAAAGGAAATTAAGTTTTTAGAGTATATATTCAGAAATTTTTCGGTCGACAAGACTTTTTGCGAAGACGTGTTCGAAAAGAGAGAAAAAAGACTCTTGCGAACATGTGTTCGCAACCTCACTTCGCAAAAGGATATTTATTTTAGGAGTATTTGGAAATCATTCGCCTTTTGCGAAGACGTATTCGTAAAGAATGAAACTGCTTCTGCGAACACATGCTCGGAAAGGCGAAAACACCTATGCCTGTACATGTTCGCAAAGGCATTTATTCCCTTTGCGAACACGTCCTCGCAAAGGTGATGTTTCATATTGTAAAAGTCCTATTCAGTTTCTTTTGCGAACATGTGTTCGCAGAAGCAGTTTCATTCTTTACGAATACGTCTTCGCAAAAGGCGAAATGATTTCCAAATACTCCTAAAATAAATATCCTTTTGCGAAGTGAGGTTGCGAACACATGTTCGCAAGAGTCTTTTTTCTCTCTTTTCGAACACGTCTTCGCAAAAAGTCTTGTCGACCTTTTGCTTCGCAAGAGAAAAAGTTGCTTTTGCGAAGGCATGTTCGTAAATTAATTGGGTTACGATTAGTTTAACTGAGATTGCTAAATCGTGGCGTAGAAGAAAATGATCGTACCTCTATTTGGACATTTGTTCCCACTTCCGCCTTCTTTATCTTGTTGCCGCTTTCTCTTGCGTATGGTGCCAAGATTTATTTGACGATCACGATCTGATAATGGTGTTCCCATTACGAGTTTCACAGTTGCAACCTAGAACGAGTACATTGAGCAATGACTAGTGAAAAAACCTCGAATTTGTGCTGAACTTACATGAGAGCAGTTCTGCGCACGATTATTACAACTACACTTGGGTAGAACTTTTGGATCGTGATAATGTACAGAATAACAGTTTGTTCTATCCAATGATTGAACATTAAACACTTTTGCCTCTTCATCAAAACTGACGAGACGTTGACTGATAATCATCTTAGCTTTTTCTTCCGTGGTCATACTATGTTTGACGACAGTACTATTTGGTTGGTTTACTGATGACGTTGAGGCTGCTGTGGTTGTTAGGCTTGAATTGTCACTTGTTTCATCGATATCTTCAATATCGTCTTCATTGCTCTCAAACATATTGAATGTAAACTAAAAGAGAACGAATTTCAATTAAAATTAGTTTTTCTGCATTATAATAATACTTACAAGTGATCGAGAATGAACGTTTGTTTGATTTTTCTTTTCTTTCATCAAATGTTCTTTGATTTGAACCAATACATCATCAATATTATAAGTTTTATTCACCGTCAGTATATTTGGATCGGCAGCAAGATGATGATATTCTGATTTCAATTTGTATGACCCTGAAAATCAAATTCGAGAGTTTAGAGCTTTTATTATTTTCCTAACACGCACTTACCCAATTGACAATAGCCTCGATGAATTTCCGTAACATAATATCCCATAAATGGGTATGTGTTTGTAACAAAACGGTCCATTGATTGCTAGAGAGAAGTAGGATCGAACTCCTAGAGTCAGAAGTCCCTAGTCCTTCACATGCCGGTTACCTGTTTGAAATGTAAGTATTTTTTGATCGCTGAATTCATTGATTCAGCTGCATTCGAAGTGGGTGGTGCATTAGCTGTTGCGTTCCAAACTCCAAAATTCACAAGTGAATATTTTGCTTAATAAAGGGAAAAAATCTTCAGACAAGTAAAGATATTAATCTTCCCTTCCCCCATCCCACTTACCTAATTGCTCAATATTGTTCAGGTGATTCTTTTCAAAGTAACGTTGAAATGATTGTGTCCATGTTGGTTTTATTCTCTTCAGTACTATAAATATAAAACAGACATAAGATGGAAGATCGACGACCATAAGGTAGTGAAACATACTTGATTGAAATTCAGCTTCTGTTTCACTTGCTAGTAGTTCAGATACACTGTTCTGATGATGATCAATGTGACTATTTCGTGCTCGTTGTACTCTTTCTGATAATAGCAATTGTGGTTCATCGTCATATGGTGGATTGTATCCATTATGCACTGTAGGATCAAAGTGCTTTTTAAAATCAGCCTTTAGCCAAGTACGTAGATCCTATAAGAAACGACGCACCATGTAAAATTACGTTGAATTTGACAGTCCCAAAACGTTCCCTTACTTTTGAGTAATGCAGACCACATCGTGCCAGTTTTAGATTTGGAAATGTTTGTGTAAATGCTTTGATAAAACTGCTTTCGTGGTCACTAATCAAGATCTTAAAAAAAGGAAAAAAACTGAAGATTACCCTCTTGGAAAAACTGAAAAATACTTACACATTTTGTTGAAATTTTCTTTAAACTTTTCAATGATTGTGTAAGCTGATAATGACTTTCAAAATCCTTGTATTCGTGAATAAGCATTGCCAGAGGAATGGTTGGTTTATTTTTGAACGCCACGTGTACGTAGGACAAAGTCTAAAAATGAATGTGTTATAAAAACCTTTGAAAGTGTGAGGTTCGACAACTAAACTATTTCCTGTGAAGCTTATCATCGCTCAGCATGATCAAAAACAAACACATTAACTAAAACTTACTGACAAATAGTATGATCCAATTTTAAACGTTGTATCATAGAACAGTTGTATGTATTCACTAGTTGCTTCCAATAAATTTTTGAATATATCTTCTGATTCTTTATGAATCAACACAATTGCCACATTAGGAAAAGATGCAACTCTGATGAAATCATTTAGTTCAAACGATAATTGTATCACATTCAATATTTCATCATTCGTTAGACGATTTTTATTGAGAAATAAATGACGAAGATTATTGGTCTGTTTGACGTTTCTTGGACAGATTGATTCAAATTCACTTGTGGAAATTATGTCTTTATACACTTTCGAACCAGTATTATGTTGCACGACTTCTTTAATATTGTTTAATACTGAAGGTTTTGTACGATGGAATGAAGAAGCATTTTCTGTTTTTTTAACATTGCCATGTGGCCTCTGCTGTGCATAACTCACATCACCTAGAAGTTATAGAAACAAGAAACAAATGCTGATGAGACGTTTGTGATTCAACTACAGTCCTACCAATATAAATCACTATGACGTTTAAAGCATCGGATGTGGACACATAAATGAATTTCTTGAATTTATTTTCATTTTCTTTGATCGACGTACAAGTTTTGAAATAATATTTTCGAAATTCTTTCCCTGATTTAGAGAAAAAGACGTTGCCGTAATTATCCCATCGAAATCCATCGGCTTTGTAATCGTCTAGAACAAAAATAAGTTAAAAGGAAAAAAAATAGCTGTGTTTTTAACAAGAATAGATTTGGCCACGTCTGCAGTACAATAACTTTAAAGTTTACTTTGATTTAAGTCAAAGTTAACTCAAACGGTAGCTACACTGTGAAGATTAACGCGTCACTCAGCTTTTAGCATTTTCGCTTCAGTTTAATGATTCAAAGAGCAAAAGCTAGTGATATTGAATGTTTGAGGTGAATTTGCATTTCTCTTGTGAGCGAGCAAGTGTAGAATTAATCAATTGATCTCATTACTTAACAAATTTGTCGATACGCTCAATGTCAAATGCGAGCTGCAGCCAGCTAATTAGCTACCAATAGACATGGCCTTTTTGTAAGATGCACATAAAGCAAAGATCGAGCAGGATTTAGTTTTCTATATTTTACACATCATTCGATAGAGAATCGCGTGCTGATCACGAATATGTGTTCCCGGCCTCTCAAAATCGTTTCCTCGCTGAAAAAATTGTAAAATACTATGAAGAGGTCAAAAACCCGGTTTTTCACGCCTTTTTTTAAATTTGACTTTTCTAAGTTTGGTTACAACTTGAAACGTTCAAACTCAGATATTCTTGTTCAGCGTTGAAAAGCGAACTAGAATATGGGATAAAAGCCTTTATATATCTAAACGCCTATTCGCCAAAGATGTTAAAAGCAAAACGACTACACGGCAGATACTTTCTCGAGAGTCCCGGAGTCAATATTTTTACATAATTAGAATCGCTGGATGCTCCCTCTTCAAAAAACGGCTCGCTTTTTTCAAAAATTTATTTCATTCCTGAGAAAGTACATTTTTTCTGAATCAGAAGCGAAAAAATCGGAATTCTGTCCGTAATTCTCTGTTTTCTCCATCAGAACTCATTTTTTATGCAATAAAAATATCATATTGGGAGTTAGCATCGAAAACCGAATCGAATGATATATGTTTCGAAATTTTTCGTTGATTTTTATGTTTTGGTGAAAATCTCAGTAATTCTTCGACGTGAAAATCGAAAAAAACAAAGGTGGTCGGACAGGGTAACAAAAGTATATCATTCGATTCGGTTTTCGATGCTAACTCCCAATATGATATTTTTATTGC